AGCTGGTTAGCATTACTTTATTATTTCTATATTTAAATAAAATAACAAGTTTTAATATAAGAACTGTTTTTAATATTACAGTATGAGGGCTTTTTTTCTCTCTCAAGTACTATTTAACTTGCATTTCTTGATTCAGACAGAATATTACTTCAGAAAGCTTCAGAAATTCAGACACTAGGCCAGTTCACAGATCCTATAATTACACCTGGCCTTATTTCTAAGATAGGAAATGGATGCAGTGTCCAGAAGTGCTTTGTTACAAATAACCCCAATATGACACAGGGATGCATAATTCTTTATTCATTAAATCTGCTAACCTATCTCAGATTGCAAAAACTTTACATGTTAGAATAGACCATCCTTTTCATCCTATTTGATATTGACATCATATGCCAACAAGAAATATTATTGGTGGATATTTGTCTTTTGAAGTTCAGTTTTTCTGCATGACAGAAAAATCAAGTTACTCTTCTTACAAGCTGTTGTTATTTTCAGCCAAGATTCATCAGCAGCTTGCTGTCTAAAAAACTAGCTTTCTCCAAAGTGAATATTCCCAGTGAAACAGCATCCCCCAACAGCTCGTGCTGGCAAATTTTCCCCCACTCCTGTCAGTGTGCTGAGTACCGGTTTTCAAGTTTCTAGAGGGATTTTTAGTCCAGCTTTGGAGCTGTTTGTGGTGCAGTGGTTCTCACACGGTATGTGAGGGGGCATTCATTGTAAAGCTCTTCACCAGTAGCAGGGGTGGCTACTGATTTCCCTCATGTGGGTCACTGACCAGACACCAGATGGTGGAAATATCCTGTCCTACTAATCTGGCCCAGAGTTAGCAATTCAGAGGTGAAAAGCTTTATCCCATTACCAATTGCCTGAGCCATCCTGTCTCCAACCTGCAGGCTGAAGATTAAACAGCTAATAGTCTTGGAGTAACTACCACCCCCTCAAATATCCCATCCACATCCACTGCACAGCCCAGGCATCTACTGGGCAGACCTGGGAGAAGAGCCATAAATGTCAGTGCATTTTATTGACTTTAGATTCTGCCTAAGGAGAAATGAAAAAGATGCCAGGCTGGTAAAATTACAGCATCAATTCAAATACTTATGCAATGTCTGGAAGGAAAAGTTTATTGCAGAAAAAATATCAGGAAAAGTAGAAAAGCCCAGTAGTCTGTTTGTGAGAAATGCAACTGGAAATAAATGGAGTAGGCATCGTAAGAAAAGGAAAAAAAAAAAACATTATGCAATTCCCTTTTGCAGGTTTCAGGAAAAGAATCACATTATTGGCATTAACCTTAGACATTCAGAACACCTTAATCAGCTCAGAACAGAAGAACTAGTTTAAGTGAATTTATTCATCCTATCATCCCCATTTTCTTTGCCCTCTGCACAAGTACTTTGCTCTGCTGCACATTTGAGCTTTTAATTTGTACACAATAGATTTCTGTATTGCATCCACAATTGCTATCAAAATTTCTAGTTTACACTATAAATTGCCGGATAAGTTACTTTTACATTTGTGATGATGACATAAAACATTTAATTTGGAGTTCAAGATAACTGCAAGGGAAACTTACAGAATTTCTGAGCTTCTCTATATCCAGATGTAATCACTGGAATTCTTTAAAAATACAAATGAATTAAGTACCAGTATAAATGTGGAAAATGTGAGAACACGAGAGGAAGGAGATAGTAGGTTATTTTTAAATGTAAATAAATGTACATTTCTGTGTTAGACTTGGATATATTTGGATCTATATTCTTTCACTCCTGCAGAAAAACAGGATTCAGATTACACATCATGACCTTATAAAATCCTGTGCCACTATAATTACCATAATTACCAGGACATCTAGTTAAGACTCCTTCACCCATCTGGAAGACTGGACTGTTCAAATCTGTCAAGCCATGTACAAAGATCTCATTTCCAGGGGAGCCATGGGAGTAACTGTAAAAGAGCTGCCCCTGAGAGAGGGGAATGGGCAAGCATAGCTCCTTGCTGCTATCTTAGTATGCATTCCTCGCTTCATGTTTCACACAGCTTCACTCAGGGCAGCTACAGAAATGTGTGCACTGTGTGTGTATAAAAGTTCTTGGTTAGCTTTGCTCATGATAACCTGCTTAATCCATTTACAATCATGTTTCTAACAACTAAAATTACTCATCTTTTGTCCATAGCCGTCCTGCCACATCACACTTAGTGTCCCAGTAAGTAGTAAAAAGCATTGTTCTAAGGTAGACTACACAAACTGGAATTTCTCATGTGTAATTATTTTCCTTGAAAATAATTAGGTTGGCAAAAAAGAATTAAATATTTAAAAGCTCCTCAACTGTTTAATTAAAAAAAGAAAAACAAAAACAAAAAACAGAACCAAAACCAAACAAAACCCAAAACCAAACAAAAACCCCCAAAACAAAAACAAAACAACAACAAAAAAAAGAAAAACATGAAAATGAAAATGGAATTGGAAAAGAAAGTTTCAAAAAAAGAGTATTTACAGTACCTCGCAGTTAATACAAGAAACTGATTTTTTTTTTCCTTTAATTGGAAAAGACAGGAGAAAAAAGTAAGTTAAAGGAAAATAGGCTAAGGAATATATTCAGAAAGGGTATAAGAATGTTTATCTAAGGGAACTGTTTTTCAAGGTCCAGATAGTAATTTAAAACAAAAAGTATGCTTATCAAAAACAGAATCAAAGAAAAATACATAAAAGAAGTGGGATTTTGTAATGGAAATTACTACAGCTGACCCGTAGGATAACCATAATGAACCTGTCAGTATCAGTAGCTAGATGGTCCCTGGCCATTGCTGAGTAGCCAGAGTACAGCTTGTGTGCTTCTGAAAACACAACTGGCCCTTGACAGAAATTACATTTTCATTACAAAATTTGACCCCTTTGTGGACTTGCAGAACAGCTTCTTTTCAGAAGAGCTCTTTAATAACGGGGCCAGTAATAAAACTATTATTATGTTTGGCACCCTGACTGGACAAACCAGTTGTGCTGCCCTTTAAAGCTAAACATAAGACCACATCATACAAGGAGCACTGCTGCCATTTCTGTCACTGTCTGGCATCCACATGGAACTTAACTGTATTTAGCTGGCAATAATCTAAAAACCATTTGGTATGTAACTATGTGCTCCTGACAGAGTTCATCAGGAAGGTCTGTTTTGGAAAGACCAAACATTTCTTTAGTGTACATTATCTGCTAATTGTCCTGCTCTCTAAAACAGAATCATCTGTTTCCTTTGAAAAAGTTTCCATCAGCACTCATAACTCAAAGAAAATATTGTTTTAAAAACCCTTAGTGAGCATATGTACCTGGATGGTCAGATGGATAAAACCATGCATATATTAAGCACTATGCACACAGGGTAGAAACTGCAACATCTGCAAAAACGTAGGTAAAAGTGACTTTAGGATGATTGAGCAAACAGAATGGCTATCTATCCTGCAGTGGGAGACCAAGACTGTTAGGGGAGTGAAATGAAATCATGGAGAGGATCAAATTACTCTCTTATGTTATTCTCTTGCAGCAAACTACAGGGCAATATTGGTACTAGAAGAATAAGCGGGACATGAATAAATTCATATTGGATGTAAGAATGCATTGCTAATCACCAGGGTGTTTTGGATGAAAAGGAAATTATGATAGTGAAATACTGTTTATTACCTCCCCTTGGCAGCCTTCTATCTGCGCCTGAAACTGGGGCTATGTGCTTTCCTTCCTATGGAAAAGTGGTGTCACTCTCTTTGAGGAGCCCATCAATGAAATAAGGATACCACCTCCAGGAAAGAGCATGTCCTATGTTTGCTCCCACACAAGAGCCAGGACAGAAAGACCTTACTGGTTATAATTAGCAAAGTTTTCAATACTTTTCCTCATAGTTTCTTTCTGGATAAATTGTCCAGCACACAGCTGGATAAACACATCATGTGATGGGTGAGCAACTGGCTCCCAGGTCAGGTGCAAAGGGTTATGGGGAAGGGGGTGACACCAGACTGGTGTCACTAGTGTCACTAGTGTGGTTCTCAAGGCTTCACCCTCATCCCTGTGTTTGTCAACATCATCAATGAGCTGGGCACAGGACTGGAAGTGATACTAAACAAATTTACAGACAGTACAAATCTGGGAGGAGCTGTTGACTCCTTCAAAGGCCTGGAGGTCCTACAGAGCGACCTCAACAAATTCAGCAACTCAGCAATCACCAACCACATGAAATTCAACAAAGGAAAGTGCTGGATTCTGCACCTGGGATGGGCAACCCTGGATGTATGGACAGACTGGGGAATGAGAGGCTGGGAAACACTGACATGGAAAGGAACCTGGGGGTCCTGGCTGATGGAAAGTTTAATTTGAGTCAGCAGTGCCCTGGCAGCCAAGAGGGCCAGGAGTTGGACTTGGACTGGTGCCATGCAGGAGTCGGACTTGGTTATCCCTGTGCGGCCCTTCCAACTCAGCTTATTCTGTGTTTCTGTGATAATGCAGCAGAGCGTGGAGCTACCGTGGATTTCTCAGCCAGTCTGAGCATGGCACACTGCTGACCGCGGCTCGGCACTGGCGGCCGGCACACAGGCGGAGAGCGCGGGCTCCGAGCTCCATCACTGGGATCACCCGGCATTCCCGGCTCCCTCCCGGCTGCTCCATCACTGGGATCCCTCGGCATTCCCGGTTCCCTCCCTGCTGCTCCATCACTGGGATCCCTCTGCATTCCCGGTTCCCTCCCTGCTGCTCCATCACTGGGATCCCTCGGCATTCCCGGTTCCCTCCCTGCTGCTCCATCACTGGGATCCCTCGGCATTCCCGGTTCCCTCCCGGCTGCGCAGCCCCGCCCCCGAGGCCGCGCGGGCGCGCAGTGACGCAGGCAGCGCGCGGCGCGGCGGGGCGGGGCGGGGCGTGGCGCGAGGCCGCGGCCGGCAGAGGGCGCTGCGTTGCCGCGCGGCGCGCGCGGCGGGGCGTGGCGCGTCGCGCGCGGCCCGGCGTGCACCGCGGCGGCGTTTGAATGGCGCAGGCTCCGGGCGCCGGGCCCCGGCAGTAGCGCTCCCGCCGCTCCGCCCGCCCGGCCCGGCCCCGAACATGAGCAGCGGGTGAGTGGCGCGGGGCCCGCCGCGGCCGCGGGGAGCGCAGCGGGGTCGCGCTGTGCCCCGCCGGGACGGGGCGCGGCTCCGCGGCGTCGCGCTGGGCGGGCGGCGGGGCCGCGGGCGGTGCGCGGGCGCGGATCGCTCCGTGCCGCTGGCCGGCGGCCTCGCCCGGCGCCCCGGCCCTGCCGTGTGCGGTGCCCGCCGCCCCCGGAGAGCGGGCTGTGGCTCTGGGGTTCCTCTCTGAAATGGTGCCAGCAGGCTCGGCTCGAAGCAGGCGCGTGTGCTGGCGGATACGTGCCAGGAGAGCGGGGCAGGCTCTGGTGCTGCCGAAAGGGAGGAGGACAGCAAGCTGGGTGTGAGGCCTGCTGACGGATTTAATTTCTTGGGTGTGACAGATTCCAGGGGCAAGGAGGGGGGTGAGGGGGGGCCTTAAGTGCTTGAAGATCAGATCCTGCATTAATGACTTCGTTCAAAAGGCTTCAAATTATTTTCTTCAGTGTTGGGCTGGATGATTTGACATGCAGATTTAAAGTAAAGACATTTTGAATAGAGAGCTCTTTTAAGGATAGAGAGATTAGATGGTGATCTTGGAAGTCTTTTGTTTCTGTTTTTGTAACATGCTTTGCTTTGGAGCAAGGTTAAGTCCGTTGGCTGAGAAGCAGCTTTCCTCCATCTTTTCTTGGAACATCATTTTTACTTTTCATTTTTACATCATTTTTACTGTTCTCCTGTTTGTTTCTTCCTCTTATTCCCTGACTGTAATCAAGGAACTAATTAAAAATATGTAGTTACCCACGATTAGTAGAATTAAAACATAACAGAAGGCAGGTTTGTGCCTCTTTTGCCTTGCTGATTGGAAAGAATATGTTCTGGAACTAAAATTAGAATTGATATGAACTCCTAAACTTTGAAACTCAGAATATCATTATATTAAAAATGTTATTATTAAGGTAGTTTATATATATATTGGAAAGTAAATGGCATTATGCTGATATGCATGTATTCTTACGGCCACGTGTATATATTCACTTGCCTACTTTTACTGTATGTTGTTCCTAGGGTAAGAAGCTTGACTAAGAATCAAGAAGGTTTTTTGAATGCTGTAAATAGACTACCATCAATAATAGAAGTGTATTTGAGGGTAGCATAAAAAGCCATGTCAAAGTTGTGTAATCACAGACTGTCCAGCCAGGGGGGCGTGTAGTGAGTACTTCCTTAGCCTCCACTAAGTTTGCAGCTTGAGGGGTTTGCCAGTATGTCTGTCTCTGGGTTTAAATTCAAAATTCTTGTTGCAGTTTTTTTTTTAATTCTTTGGGTTGAGCAGCAAATGGTAAAAGAAATTGCTGTATTTGATTTCATGGGTAGTTTCTTAAAGAGCTGTGTAAAACATTAATGTGGAAGCTACAATATTGTGGAAATCTATTTATTTTATAACACCTCTTAGTTATAAAACCTTTTCAAATTTATTGTCCCCAGAGTGTTCATAAGTGAAAATCAACAGGTGGAAGTATCTTTTCATTAGTGGAAGATGACTTCAGAAAGGACTTCACCACTGACAACTGCTGTTACTTTATGGCAGCTTAACAAACCTGTCAGTGGTGCCTCCAGAAGCAGAAAACTGAGTTCTTGTTTGCCTTTTTTTTTGTAGAAAATGTAAATCAGGTTCAGTTATTAGACTCCCAGGCTGTCTCCACAAGGGGAGCTAATGCACACCTGGGTTCCTCCTCACTAAACTTGGAGGAGCTGTCACATGTGGTTGTTTTTGGAGGTTCATTATGACAGTGGGCCACATACGAATTTCAAATGTAAGAGGAAAATGAGCTTAAATCTTAGGTATAAGCTAATTTACCATAACTAGTTGTTCAAATAGTATTTTCATTTATTGCAAATTTAGAGAATTTCCTGTAGTTTTTATCAACATAGGAAACTTTAAACTGGAACAAATGCCCTGACAAGTGTAGCACATTAAAAAGCTGTTCTGCTGGCATATAACACTCTTTTTAATGTTGCAGAAAAATTTTGCATTAACATACTCCTTAAAATCTTGAACTCCACTTCCTCTTTTTAAGAAAACTCAATTTTCAATTGCTAAAAAAGAAATTTGAAAAAACCAAACTGTTTCATATGCAAAGGATGTGGAAGCCTTCTAAAAGAAAGACAAATGGATTTTGTAATATTTATTGGAGCTAAAATGAAGTTATGCCAAGCTTACAAAATCACTTCTATATCATAAGATAGTGCTAATTTATTTTTGGAAGTAAATTTGAAATAACCATCCTTGGAAGTTACTTGTGACCATTGTAGCTCTGATAATTGCCAGTGAAATGAGTTGACCATTACTGCTTCCCTGATGCATACCTGTTTGGAATGCTTTCAAAGCATATGCTCTCCTCCTTGGGATAATGATTAATTAGGTTTTTTCATCTGAGTTTAATATTGTCATCCTTGAACTTGCAGTTGGGTTACTGTGAGGTGGAGGAGAATCACAGGAATATTTACCATGGTTGGTGCACATGGGATGCTGCAGGAAGAAGTAGCTATTAAGAATTTGGACAAGGAATAGGATGGAAGAGGGTGTGTTTTGAAAGGTATTGCTGATGGCTTAAGAGATCTAACTATTTTACATTTTCCTTGCTGCCATGCAAAGTATGCCAGCCTGTGTTCTGTAAGAAAATAATTTTATGTTAATATGCACATAGATTATGTAATGTGCCAAGAAGAGTTTGTCCTTCTCAGGGGACTGTGCCCAGAACTTGGGACATGGGAGGGAGTGGCAGAGTTGTTAATACTTGCCTTCAACAGATGTGCACTTGAAAGCCTGTTAGTGCTGACTGCCTTTGCCTAATTCTGGTATGACCTGAAGAGTTTTATTGCATCTGGGAGAGATCAGAGATAGAAAATACCAGTAGGACCGTCAGGAAAACTTTGCACAGGTACTGTCTGTTGGCTGTGGGGACAAATCAGCTTCTTCTCAGGAGACATGGCTGCTATTACTCTAGTCCTTCTGCTTACTGAAGATTGAAGAGAGTAAAAGGGGCAGAAGGGAAGATTGTTGTCTGCTGTGAGAAATCACCCACTGTATAGGGGAAATGGATGGAATTGGATTCTGTCATCCTAATGAAATCATACATCTCTGTTCAGATCTGCAGTCTGCCTTGTTAGCTTGTAAAACAGTTTAGGATTGTACAGTGGACCAAGGCAGAGCTGAAGGGGCATGCATTCTCTCCTTAGTTTAATTTAAAAAACTTTGTCAAGTGAGGGAAATGCATTGGCCTCAATGATATTGTATAGCACATTGTCTGATCAGATAAAACTAGCTGTGCTCATCACAAGGGAAAAGTCAGAAATTAAAGACATTAAGGTATAGATTGTTTGTAGTATCTAATGCCAGTTTAAGAACCCTCTGTATATATGCCAAAATTACAGGGGACTGTAGTGTCTGATTAGCTATCCCTAGATGATATCTGACTGCAAATAGGAAATCAAAGTTGTGAAGAGCCATGTAAAGTGCCTTTCATCCTGTAGCATTCATCTCTTAAATTGCTGGCCAGCCAGCATTTTCCTAGGTGTTACTAAGCCTTTCAAAGCTGGTTTCCTAGGATGGTGACTGAGTTTATTATAGCATTGTTAGGTTTGTGTATACTAGATTCTTCTGCTTGTGTTCTGCTCTGTTTGGACTATATGGGTTGTGGGTCTGAATTTAATCATTTTCAGTATATATATTTTTTTTTTTTTAATGTGCTTGCGCAGTCTGTCCTAAAACCCATATAAAACATTTGGATCCACAACATCCTGTGGCAAGCTCAGGTTGATTATAATTTGCACACAGCTTAACCTTGTTTGTTTTGATCAGATCTTCACCTATTGTCCTTTGACCCTTTTTTTGTATATTGGGCAAGAGAGGTCACAATCTCTGTGCAACTTGTCCAAGCCATTCATTTTGTAGGCCTTTGTCTTATTTCCCCTGATGGCTATAAGTAGCCTCTTCCCCAGGCTGAAGAGACTGATCTAATCAGTTGCTGATTATATGAAAGATATTCCATGTATTTTTAACTTCTTTTGTCTGAGCTGTTTTCTACTTTTACTCAGAAGTATTTTTGACTTTTTAGGGTTGATTTGTTTTTTTTAAAGAAAGTTAACTAACTCTTCTCTCAGTATATGAAATACAGGCACAAATTCATTCTGTACACTGTCACAATAGTGTTCTGTTTATTTTTCTGTTTATTGATCCACATGGAGTGCTGAGCAGTCGATCGAAGGTAAGCTGTCCTACATCCAGACGTTGTTGTGGGTGGCAGTTACTGGCTCCGAGACTGTGATTCCAAAAGGAGCCCAGAATTTTCTCCTGCCTGCAGATACATAGGCTTTGCTTTATATTGATCTATAAGTATTGCTTTTGCTTCTTGTACATCACAGTACATCACTTCTTGTACATCTTGTACATCACTTCTCCAGTTCTTCAGTTAGCCCTTATCTTCACAGCTATGACTTTGTATTGTCAACAGTCTTCCTCCCCTTTTGTGACATAATTTATTAATATATTGAACAGCATAAACCAATGCAGGTTTCCCCCAGGGATCTGGAGGTGATTTTCTGCACTGTGGGAACTGCTTAGGCAGTTTATGGCTGTTCTTGAGATACTTGTGCATGCAAGAGCTTTCCCTTTTTTTCACTTGGTGGCTTAGTTTCCTCAAGATTTAAGTGAGGGACTTGGAAATTCAAATAAACTCTATCATTTAGTTGCCCTTTATCCATGTTGTACTACCCCATATTCTTAATAAATTCCATTAATTTTGCAGAGCAAGACTTCACAGAATCATAATATAATTTGGGTTAGAACAGACATTAAAGATTTTCTAGTTCCAATTTCCCCGCTGTGGGAAGGAAGGGACACCTTCCACTAGGCCAGACTGCTCATAGCCCCATCTGACTTGGCCTTGAACACTTGCAGGGACAAGGCATCAACAGCTTCTCTTGGAAATGTGTTCCAGTGCCTCTACACCCTCTCAGTAAAGAATTTTATCCTTATATCCAATCTAAACCTGCCCTGTTTCAGTCTGAAGCTGTTACCCCCTTTGGGCTATCACAAATGCCCTGGTAAGAAGTCCCTCCCCAGCTCTCTGTAGCCCCTTCAGGTACTGGAAGGCCGCAGTGAGGTCACCCTGGAGCCTTCTCTTCCCCAGGCTGTGTTGCCTTAGTGACAGCCAGGCTGAATCTTTCCCATTATGTTACTTGTTTGTGTCCACTAAGTCTGTTCTTGATTACATTGTTTACTAATTAGTGCAACAGAGATGTCAGTCTGGCTCTTCCTTGAGGCTCTTTAAATATTGACTGTGTTCTCCATGCGTTTTCTTTAGGTACTTTGTCAGCTGCAAGGGAGCTAAAAACACAGCTGTTTCATTACTGCTTAAATGTTCACTGCTGCTTCTACATAATCTGAGACCCTCAACAGGTTAAACTATTGAAAACCCTTTCAACTGTTGGACAGTGAAGTCATACACAAGGATTTTACTTTGCTTCATCAAATGTTCCTTTATATCTGATAATCTCTTGACCTTTTGAATTTATTTTACCAGTCTTTAAGGAAAGAATTAATAGTTCTGTTGTTTCAATTGGGAGGCTGGGGAACAATATATTCTTATGTCAGATTTGTTAGAGTGTAAAATTCTCTTAATTTTTCTCCTGGACACATGCAACCTTTTGTAAGGAACTTCCTTCCATCCAGAGTCCTCTCTCTCCAGTTCAGATAGCTCCAGTTCAGGTATTTTGACATGTTAGATGCTCTTTAGAGCCCAGTATTAAAAACAGATAAGCTAGTTGAATTTCCTTGGTAAGACATTTCTTTCTAGCCTTCTAATATTTTACACTTCTTTTAAGCAAAAAGTATTCTAGTTATATAGTGCTGTCATTTATTTTGGTGATCAGATTCTTGTGTACTGCTTAGTGTGAAAGATGAGGGTAGATTGAGATCATTTGTTAAATAAGGAAAAATAAGGAGCAGTCACTGTTAGGCCTGAGGAATTGTAAGCTGATAGTGTGTTATGGGAGTAATCACAAAAATTTTCCTTCAGCAACAGAGATCAGGGGGTTTTTAGCCTCTGATGAGGTGGCTGTGGGTTTTAACTCTGGTGGTTGGAGATTGCCCCCCCCTAATATTTCAGTTTTTTGCTTTCCCTTCAGTGTTATTCTCAAACAGTGGATAGAAGAAAAAAAAAAGTCAAGACTTTTTCCAAGTCCTCTTCATCACTGACTGGAATAAAAGGATGGATTTGTTTGGATTTTAGGATTGTTCAGTTTTTCTTCAAAAGTCCAGTTGTTCAGCATATGCCTTTGTGTTGTGATCCAAGTGCAAGTTTTAATATACAGCCCATTTTGAGTCCAAGTAATGGTTTTAACCGGTCTGATAGGCAGAGGGAAAGGTGTTTGTTTATGTGAGGTTTTTTCTAAACTTCAGGGAAAAATTTACAGACCTGTGTGGAAGAACTAGGAAGTGTAGAGAGCTAACAAAGTGATCACTCTTCATCACTGTCTCATAGTGTGAAAAAATCAAGTTAATGAACCAGTCTTAAGGCAGACTTGCATCTGGAAAAATATTGGCCACCAGCTGTTAAAGATACTGCCCTAATTAATGCTGCCATTTGAAGTTCTTGCTGTAGTCTGAGGGCTCTGTGTTCCCATCTTACAGAGTAAGAGATTCTGTCAGTGAATATTCCATTTTTGAAAGACATCTCAAGTGAAATTCTTTAGTAATGATCCAATTCCAAAGAATTCCAGAATATTTGAAGAATTTTTTTTTTCTTCCACTGTACCCTAAGAGAGGGATTTTAATGTGCCTGAATATAGCATCTGTCTTGTTTTGGCCTGCCACCTGCTTGTTTCATTTGATGGCCTTTAGCTACTGCATGGATCTTCATGGCCAATAAGCTGTTTCCCATCTGGCTTATTCAGTGCTCAGTGTCTTAGTCTTTCAAATGCCAGAGTTCTTAATGTGAGGTAAATCTGCTACATAGAGTAAAGAGAATAGGGCTGCTGCTAAAGATTGAGGGGAGAGATGGGAGCACTCATGTTGAGACCACAGTTGTACCTTTTAGGGGGAAAAAACAGTAATATTGGAGCAAATGGTTGTCTTAAAAGTGGCATAGGATGTCTTGCTAAAACACTTCAAGAATGGTGCCTCTATGATGATGTAGTAGTTGAACCTAGTCTCAAGCAATGAATCTTCTGATTGCTTACAAAACATGAAACATGCAAAATCACATGTATGTACAGCTGTCCCAGTCTTGGTGTTGATTCTTATAAAAATATTTGCATACTTCAAGACAAAGGACTTTAGCCATAAAATGAAGTTGTGGGGTTTAGTATGAAAACTGGCCAAAGCACTGCATTGACAGAAATGGGTGGGGAGGCAGGATGGACATTTGCCAATTAACTAAGGGGAAGATCTTTCACTTTTTTTTTAAACCTTCATTATTTTGATAAAGCTTGCTTTCTTCCTAAAAAACAAGAATCAGTTTTTTAGCTGCCTTATGTACTTGGAAACAAATGTGAAACCAATTATTTTTCTCTAGGTGGCAGATGAAATTCATAGTGCAAGGAAAGAATTTCATAAATTGCCCTATTCTTTACTTGAATTCTTGTTTGTATGGCACCCCTCAGTGCAGGTGTAGAAACTGGTGTGAAAACAGAATCTCTGCTTGGTTTCTTGGGGTGATTTTTGTTTCGTTTCCTCTTTCTTGAAAGCTAAATAGGGATTTTGAAATTCCATAGTGTTAATAATAAGGCCTCCAGGTAATATGCACTAAAGGATGATGTCTTGGGTTATATCTAGGATGGAAGATCTTGGAAATAGTTGAATTCTAGTGTTGCTAGCTGTGTTTGAAGAAATCTGACAGAATGTTTTAGAAAATACAACTAAATATCTTTCCCTTGAGAACAGGGATTTGAGAGATTATGGCATCTGAAGCTCACAATGTTAAAAACCAGAAAGTTTTGCTTATTGAAGGTCATCCCATTGATCTCCCCAGAAAAAGAATCTCTTCTTCCACTAAAAAGATCATGAAGGAGGTAAGCTGTTTTGTGTTGTTTGTTGGGTTGTTTTATGTCCTCTGAGAAAATTGATGATTTAAACAGCTTTATAGTTCTGAGCAGTCTAAATCTAGAAGCACAGCACTACTAAACATTTGATATTTAGATGTGCAATAGAACTTAGAATTGTTTCTGTGCCAGTTATATTATGAAAACTGTGTAATAGATCCAGGCAGCAGCTGCACAGATCAGTGCATTGTATCATCCATATGAGCAGTAGGTACTGATCGATACAGTCTTACTCATGTGTGCTTTTCTGCAATCTAGCCAATAAATGTTTCAATACAGGAATTCTGTCATGAAAAACTTCTTTCTTGCCAAGAGAGCTGCATGGCACAAGTGAGAGGTGGAGTAGGTGAAACCCATTCATTGAAATAGATCCTTGTATAATTATACAGCTTCACCTAGCACATGGTAGCACGTAGATTTTCACTGGATTCTTGCTACTCAAAAGTAATTTTTGAAACTTCTTACCTGTGTTACTGACTGAAGAGTAAGACAGTGAAGTACAGAGGAAGCACTGGAGAGGCAAACTTACTGTAAGATCTCTTCAAACAGTGGTGAAGATATCAATATCTGCTGTTTATTAAAATTTTCTATTAAAACTAATACTTTATGACCGGTGTTACCAAAAAAAGATCATAACATTCTCCTGCTGATGGCACAATCTAAATGTTACCATTAATGCTAAGTAGTATAGGTGGGAGTGTTTGACCCTTTATAGTAATACAGCTTTTTTTCTCTTATTTCCTTTCTCCCAGGGTAAGAAATCTCCAAAACAGCTGGCTTCATACACAAACAGGTAGGAGGGCTGTGCTGTGTGATATCTGAGTTTAAAGTGTGACAGAGGTAGGGAGAAAATCACAGTTGAAATTGATTACAACACCAAAGCAAACACAAAGGGATGATAGGTTTTGATTTTAAAGACAGTTCTTTGTTCTTGTGTTTTCTTCCATAACAGCGAGTCTCTGCATTACTAAAAACAGAAGAATATTGGTGGCATGACTTCTAATAACCCTAGTGTCATTAGGATATGTACTGGGGGAAAAATGTTTTCAACAACCTGAAATCTGACTGCTGAATTCATAATTATATATATATAAACATAATAATGCAATTGATTTGGTTTGGATCAACCTTCACTAAAATAGTGCTTTATTATTGCAGAGTAACGGTTGGAAAAACGGTGGCCAGTCCCCTCTCCCTTTTCAAAGTGGTATATTGTAAAAGGAAAGTTCATTGTTATACTCCAAAGCCTTGTTACAGAAAGAAACTGTGCCCTAAATCTAGGGGCCGTGACATGGCAAATAAAGAAAATGAACTGGCTTGTGCAGGGAATCTGCCAGCAAAACTTCACAACAGTCGGACACACTTGCTGAATTCTAGCGACTCTGGCTCGTCTCAAACAGAAGGCCCCTCATCCAAATACAGTGCATTTTTTTCCGAGGTAGGTTTGAAGAAACTCCAGTTTACAAAAGTGTTTGTTGTAATTAGCTGTGAAAGTTTCTTTCTTTAGAATAATTTCCTTCAATTCCGCAGATAGCAGGTCTTGTGATTTACAGTCTGTCCATTTATGGTGATGCAGTTGTCAATAGTAATAGTCCTGCCACTTTTCTTCATATTTGGGTCAGGTCAGAAGCTCAGATCTGCCGGACTTGACTGGATTAAAATGGTGCCAGCACCAAAGGAGAATGTTATTTTGACCTGCATAGGTTTCATGAACTGGCAGGACAGGTGTCCACATGTGTGTTTATAGAAGTGTAAAAATGTTAGTATATCAATGAGAATAATCATTAGTGAGGTAGATTATGACAATTTTCAACAGCAGTATCAACTTTGTGCAAAACTAACTTAAGTGTTTGTGTGAGCTTTATTTCTTGTTGGGGTTGGTTGAGGAAACCTAGATGATGTTTGTAGGGCTTCTGAAACTGTCTAAAAGGTCAGATATTTAAATTAAATGGATTTTGTGACAGTGAAGGCCATTTAAGGCCCTTAATGTTGAAGTTTGCATTTCTGTCACAATAGATTTTTGTTACTCCTTGGGGCTTGCAGGCGTTTAAGGTGAGGCATGGCAGGGAAGGTAAGATCAGAAACTGTCACCCACCATGCTGCTGCCTTGTCACAGTGTTGTAAATGTGTGCTCCTGTGAGGGAGAGCCCTGAGAAGCCGCTGGGCTGAAGGTGCAAGTCTGCAGCACTTCTGCACTGTTAAATTTGGTGGTTTCAAGAAAAGAGCAGAATAGCTACAATAAAGAGGCTGCAGAAAGGTGGGTAAAAAAATGAAGATGGGAAGATTCATTTTCTGAGAAGCTAAGGAGCAGATCACTGGCCTCTGGTCACAAATGACTGTTTAACTGGTTTGAGAGATGTGTGTGGCTCTGCAGTGTTCATTCCAATCCAAGGTCTAATTAATTAAAATGCCTGAACTTCACAGAACAGGCTTTTTCAGAAATGAACCTTTTCTGTTGGAGTTTGGAATAATACATGCAATTACTTGTGTCTAAATTGTGTCAAAATTAATAATCATCTAAGTAAAAAGTTCTCAGAGTTGGTGAGAATTATAGGTTGATGCACATGAATGCTCATTTTAATTATTAGATACCTGTCTTAGGTGATAAAGAGGTACAAACCTTATTCTTGCAGCTTTCGTGTAAAGTAGGTGATATTTTTGTGAACCCTAAGGGAAATTTATGGGTTTAAGTCTATTCTTAGATAAATTTCTAAAATTTATACAGGTAGAGTATACCAGATTATATTTGAGTAGCATGTTGTTTTATCACTGGCTGCTAAACTTGTGGCAACTTTTTATATTTTTAAAAATGTGCAGGTTTCTCAGGACCATGAAACTATGGCTCAAGTTCTTTTCAGCAGGAATCTGAGACTGAATGTAGCTTTAACCTTTTGGAGAAGGAGAAGTATAAGTGAACTGGTAGCCTACTTAGTGAGGTAAAATAAGTCTCTTCTTTTATATCCTTAAAATGACAGCAATCTCAAATATGCCACAGTATTTGTAGCAGTTCTGTAAATGTTGTGACTTAGTTACACTGTTCAAATCATAGCGGAAGCGTATGCTCCTACTACTAGTAGTAGGATCTACAAGTAACACTTCTGATTTTATTCTTACTGTTTCTAGGATACAGGATCTTGGAGTAGTAGTAGACTGCCTTCCTGTGCTTACAAACAGGTACAAACAGAAAAAAGTGGGGAATTAGAACCTGCTTATGACCATAGAAGTTCAAACACTTCTGAAACATCTTGTTTTTAAGTTTACAGGAAGAAAAACCATATGTTTCAGTTGGCTGCTGTGTAGATCTTTTGCCCTTAGTGAAATCTCTGCTTAAAAGCAAATACGAAGAGTAAGTATCAGCTTGGGATGTTTTTGAAACATTATTACTTCCTGGCTGTGCAGAGCCCTGGAAAATCAATGGTTTTTAATCCTCTGACTCTTGTTCCCTCTGCCCCTTCTCCAGCTCTGCCTTTCTCAGGAAATGAGAAAGGTTCGGACGAAAGCTTCCATTCCAGAGCTTTCTCCTCTAACAAAACAGCAGTGCAGAAATTCTTTTCTGCAATGCTAGGCACTTGGGGGAGAGGACTGGCTTTGCCCTTATGGAGATTTATTTATCCTAAATATTAAAAAATATTAGCACTGAGGTTTTAGTATGCTTTATAACATATAATCAAGGCAGAGTTTTCTTGTACTTTTTCAACAAGAACTTCAGACTACCACTTAGAAATTGCAAGTGTAAACAAGAATTTAAATTTACCAATTTTCTAGATTCTTTCCTTCCAGAATAGAAAATGTTGCTTTCTCAATTGCTTACAAAGTTATCTCAATGCTTTATTTATCTGGCTTGTAGCTAATCTTCAGGGAGAGGGAAATGCATAATGTGTAAAATGTGTTGTTACAGATACGTGATAGTGGGTTTAAACTGGCTTCAGGCTGTCATTAAAAGATGGTGGTCAGAACTATCTGCACATACAGAAAAGGCAGAAGATGGGTGAGTATAGTGTTGGGAAATACTTAAATGTGTTTCTGTAGTCGATTTCATCTCAATCTGTTCTAATTTTGATCAGTAGGAGCACATCTTGCCTACAAAAGGCACACTTACAATTTTAAAGTTAAAGCTTAGAAGTATTTTAAGGATAGCTAAGTCACTGGTTTTGTTTTTCTTTTTTTTGCTATGGTTTTAATACCTGTAGGATGTAGTCATATCAGGGATTATACAAATGCTGTAGAAGTTGAATCAAAATTTTTCAGCTCTTGTGGCAATACCTATTGTATAGGCTAAGTCTATATGCAGTATTAATAATTCATTTTAATAAAAGAGACTACTGAAATATACTACCTGGGTTATAAAGTGACGTTCATTCTCTTTCAGAAACATTCATATTTTAAAACAACAGTTAAGTATTTTGTGGGAACAGGAGAATCACCTTATTCTGGTTCCAGGATATACTGGTAATATAGCTAAGGTAAGTTCTGGTTCCAGTTCTGGTTGTGTTCAGTAATAAACATGATTGTATCACTTCTGGTACTCCTCCTGTTTTACTTATGCACTTCTGGTACTCCTCCTGTTTTACTTATGCTAAACTGTGGTTGGACAGAAACACGTTTACTTTAGTTACTGCTAATGCTCAAGTGTATTGCATGGTTTTTACAGAAATCTGGAGTTATTTCCCTATGATAGTTCTGTGAATTAAAATTATAATTATGCTTAAGCATCTCCTTAATAACAAAGTATCTAATAGTAATGAGCCTTAAAATGATATGAAAAAGGGCTCAGTTGAGTAGGTAGACTGTGGAAGGGACAGATGTTTTCTCTTAGATCTGTTGTAGCCATTGTAGTAAGTGTAATGGAGAATCTTAGCCTGGGAACATCATTGGCATTTGCACATCAGGTGCAGGAGCAAGTGACAACATGCAAAATTCTAAAGCTTATTGCTGACCTAATGCTTAGAAAATGGTGAGTTTCTGGTGGGCAGAAGAGCCTGTCTGAGATGTATCCCTGCTTGCATTTTTCATTAGGTTGTGGTATCAGTTACATAATGAGGGTGTCTGGTAGATCCATACTTTTCTGTTTGTGCTCATCTCTATATGCATGGCTTTCTGAGATTGGGCACCAAAAGTTAGACTAGATAGAAACATCTCCAGGTGGAGGGACCTGGTGAAGGTGGACAGTGAGAAAGGAGTTACACCAAACAGTTGGTTGTGTGCAAGATTTGAATGAACTTGAAAAGAACTTAAAAATTGCATCTTTTTCTTATATCTGAAGGAGTTTTGGTGAATCTTTATTTCTGTGCTACAGAATTGATCACTTTGATGTGTCAAACAAGTAAACTCTTTTTTCTGGGACTGCTGTGCACCTGCGACTTCAGATTTGATGTCCCTACAAGGATAATTACAAAATTCTTGCAGCATTTCAGTCAACAGGGATGCAGAAGAACTGAGTTCTAACTCCCAACTTGGTTGAGCTATGAGAGCACGTTATGTGGACTGCCTAGTTCTTTTGCTGGATCAGAATAGCAGCTATAGGTAGTGTCAGTTTGTTTCTCTAGAGTTCAGGTTCCCTTTATGTTCATTTGCTGTCTTAATGCATCAGGATAGATTGTGACCGAAGTCACCTGAGCAAGTCAGAGCAAAAGTAGTCCAAGAATGTTGGAGGGGTTGGGTGAAGGAATGTCATACATAACATGTTTTAACTATGTGATCATATGATGATGGTGATCTTTCCTGCTCATGCAGGGAGCAGAGGAATAACAGATGAAATTGATAGCATTGAAAACTAATCCTACTCTTCTGGCAGGCTTTTTAGTACCTGAAGAAATGTCATTGTAAGCATTAATTGAAAGTAATCATGAAGATAACTGGTTCTGAAATTTGGGCAAATATAATTATTTGTGTGTTATGGTCCTGAGGTTGCCCTGCTTCAGACATAGAGTTGATGTTGGAGCTATAAGTAAAGTGACAAACACTTTCTCCTTTTTTTCCTTCTAGGATGTAAATGCTTATTTATTGCAGCTACACTGACATGATGGGGAAACAGTGTGCTTATGTGGTGAAACAGTCCCTAAAGTATCCCTGAAATATGTGCTGAAAGCCTTTTGAGAAATACTGGCAGAAGAGAACTGAACTGTCAAGCTGTTTAATGAAACCACTAACAAAACTCTAACAATCTACTTCACATTGAAGTGGAAAAATGTCTAGTAGGAGCAACTTTTACTTCAATGAGGTGAAAGTGCACTATGAAAACTGTATGCCTTTGCTGCATTTGGGATTTGCTCAGTTCCTAGGTATTCCTTTAAATGCTACTGTACCTTACAACATCATCCATAAAAGAAGATGAACTATACTGTCATGAAGACAAGACAGCAGAACCAGTTATAAGGAACCAACAAAAACAATCAGCATTAAGAGCTTTTAAATGTCTCTTTCACAAGAGAACTCCAAAATGCACAACTATCTTCCAATTACATAAAATACAAAAAACTTTGGGCTATTCAGTTACTTGTATGTTTTAATCAAATTATTAAAGACAGTTTTTGTTTGCACTATTGAGAAACTATACAGCAAAGATGCCTTAATTACTAGTGTTTCAAAAAGCCAATGTATTAAGATGCAAATAGCTATTATGTTCAGATTGTGATGAAAAACTACAAAAATCAGGGTTTCACATTGTGTAGTTAATGAAACATTGCACATATACCAAGATTCATGTATGAAAAATATTATAAATACCTGAAGTTAAGCTTGGGTAAACAGTTATTGCAAATGTCAGCAGAATGGTGAACTTATGTCTAACAAATGTTTTTATATTGTATGTGGATTTCTAACACAGTAATCTTGTTCTGTATCATTCAAACTACATGCAAATAAGTAAATATATTAAATATATCTATTGTTTTTTCTTTTCAAGTTAAAAAAATCAATTTCTAGAATAATCTTTTCCACAGTACTTTTTATCATAGATATTTATGTCTCTTGTTTGAAATGTTTACAGCCAGGTGAGGCCATGTTATTCAAATCACACCCTTTTTATACTACCTCCTTTAAGAAACTGACAAAGAACTTTTGCAAAATTGATCAAGTTCTAACCTGATCAATGATGGCAAAGTCATACCAACAACAGCATTGAGGATACAGCTATAAGCTTTTACTGTCATATTGATATGCTGTTCTATTTTAATTTAAAAGCTATATCTTAATAGCTCTGAGGGAGTCTTAATCTTAGGCTTGCTGTTGCCTTTTTTAATTTTGTGATTAGAAAGTATGCTTTTTCAATTAAAACTTACAAAGTGCCAGCTCTTCACTTAAAAGTGTACATGCACAGCATGTATGACCAAATAGACTACTTCCTTAAAAACAAGGGTTGTTTTCATACCTAGCATTAAGCATGTGCACTTTTATTGACGTGCAGGAGAAAAGTCTTTTGATAGCCACAAGTGGTTTTTGCTTTACGGATTAATTAATTTTAAACTCCTGTAGCGGTCAATAAGTTCAGGCCTCCTGTTGCTTAGTATTGTATTAGTTTATGTATCATTGTTGCTGACTTCTGAAGGCCAGCTAGAAATCTGAGAACTTGGTGCTTTTAGTTGTTTGACTGTTCTGTAAACCACCAAAGGTTTTGCATTTCCTAGGGCAGTCAGTTACAAAGAGTTTCTGGGGCATCCCAAAACTGCAAACTTTGTGGGACAATTTGGAGACACACATAGCCAGTCTTTTTGCTTGAATTGTTTTGCATCATTAGAGATATTTCATGCTAAAAGAGTTTTGAGATAGGACTTTTCAAATGTTCTTACTATCAATTAAATATCTAAAGGAACTATAGTATGACAACATTCTTCTATTACTTTACTGTTCCATTGAACACTTAAGTGTAAAAGTAACCAAGTCTGGTTTCATCATTTAGGTGGCAATTGCTGAAACTCTTAGATTACTCCTCAAGGAGATTACTGTTTATGGAAACTCAGATTTTTTTCTTTTTTTTTTTTTTAATAGACAAAGTAACTCATGGCCATTTATTTCTGATAATATAGGAAAGAATAGTTGTAATTGATTAAAGGGATACTCTAGTGTTTAAAAATCTAGCTTGAATGTAGATTTAGGTATGTAGGCTCATAATTCTGTGTGTGGCCATAGAGTTAACAAATCCTAACTGTGGACAGTGCTTTTGTTTTAGAGGCAAGGTAAGATTGATTTGAGGATCATTACTGAGGAATACCTAATAAAATAATGCATTCTTTTTAACTGCCAAAAGTTGTATTTTGACAGCATCAATAATACAGTATTAAACATTGTCATTAGTATCTGTGCCTTATTTTAAATGAATTTTTTACTGTTTTCAGGCAGCTACTAGACTGTAAGAACAGGGTTCAGGTGTCTGTATTATGAAATTATTTTTTCCATTGTGTTCTTTATTCATTGAAACTATTCACACTAATATTCAGGCTCAGCTTCTTGCATTCTCTTTAGCTCTTAAATGGCTAGGAATCAGTTTTACTGTTACAGAATGTGCATGTATATTATCTGGTCAAAGTCGGAATGACAGCTGTGTAAATTCACTAAATTCATATAGTTGTCTCAGTGAATCTAAGAATTAAGTTTGAGCTATCCCATGCATAAATTACAATCTTTGTGGTACTTTCTAAAAATGCTATTTCTAGGATGTGTCAGAAGATCCAGACAGAATTAATCCTTTTCCTGTGTGTTCTTGTGATGCAGAAGCACCTATGTACTTGAGGATAAAGGATGCCTCCACAAAGCTGTTCTTCATATTATACCCCTTGATGTGAAACTGATGTCTTTGAAAAACAGTTGTCTTTTGCCTCAGTGTCCCCTGAAAGTACTTGAGGCTGTTTTGATGAAGGAGTACTTTTAAGTGTGACCCTGGATTTGCCCATCCTCTAAACTGAAATTGAGGAATCCTTCTGGCAAACTGTCTCTTTCTGCAGGGCTGAAAAAAAGTCTAGTATTTTGTAAATGGAAGTGGCCCAGTTGAGGTATTGCTGATAGCTTGCTGAAGAGTGGAAAAAGCTGTGCCATTAATTAGCTGGGTGTGAAGAAGTTAGCATGTCTTAATGATTATGTATGTCTCTGTTTTGAAGGAACTATACCTATTTCTCAGGAAAGAGTCCTCTACTCTTGTATCACACAGGTACTGCAGTTCTACACTCCTGAATAATGCTTACAGATTGTTGCTGGTATTAAAAAAAAAAATAGCAGCAGCCTTCCAAGAGCTTACCCTCCACAGTGAGATATAAATAATTTTTTTTTCCCTCCTGTAGGTTGCTTTGTCAGAGGCTGCAATTTTAACACTTGAGGTGCAGGAGGGATGGGAGAGTAGGAAAGGACAAGGTACACATGCCCTGTGCTGAGTGACATCAGCCCCACTGCGTTATAAAACAGGCTGTATTTTCATTTTCTGGCATCTGAAGTAGGCAAGTTTGGCATTAAACATCTTTATGCATTTAGCATTGAAGAGATAAAAGTTTTGAAGATGGATGCTACAGTGCTAATTTGTGATTTTTGAGGGGTTTTTTCTTAAAAGAGTGGACATTGTTATTGTGGAAACTTGAAAGTATCTTATGTGAAGCTTACATTTTAGACTAGCAAGTGATTGCTTTTGCCAGTTCATCTTGCCAGATCTTCCAGTTCTACAGAAGACTGAATGTCTGTCTTCATGTGGAGATTTGCAGCTATTTTTGTGCCTAGTTTTCTGGTGCAAAGTGAAACTGGTGGTTCATAGTCAACTATTTCAGAATACAAAACCATGCAAATTATGGTATTGGTGTGAAGTTATTCCAGCTTTGCGCAGTGCAAATGCTAAAGTTCATGAAAGCAGTTGATTCTCTTGAGAGGAGATTTGTATTGAGCTGATGTTGCATTAGTGAAGGAAAAAAAATGAAGCAGTTTTTAATAGCCTTGGTAAAAGCCAGACAGTGTAGTCTAATTTTTGCCTTCAGTCTGCCATCCTACACACAGTAATCATTGTAGGCTACAGATAAAGATTCACAGAGAAAATAGATTGAGCATGCTTGTGTTGTTAGTTGCTTGTGTTATCCTTCCTTAAACAATTAATGTTTATTCTATGAGTTAAATAACTTGTTTTATGTCTCAGAATGAAACTAAATGCAACTATTTTTCTCCCTCTTTCCACATACATTCTTTAGGACTTAATGATGTTATTTATTGCTCATCTACTTTAAATATACTAAGAGTGTGTCTTGTTAGAAGTGAGGAGATGAAGATGAGAATTCTAGACAAAACACAGGGCTAACTATTTAACATGATTCAGTTTGAAGCAACTGTGAAGAATTTCCATCTTTAAAACTTTTCACACAAATTTTGTTAATACCTATGAATTGAAGTGTGCATTCACAGCTCTACGTTTGACTTTTAACTTGGTTGGAAAAAATAAAGTGCTTTCATTCTAAATAACTGTAGCTGCAGTATTGTTTCTGTTCTTGTTTTTTGCATTGAGTACTAAGCTGAACTCACTCAGATGCTAACCTGCCATAAGGGAGGCAGGAGGTGTAGCACTGTCCCTTGAAGGGATAAAATGGAAATATCCACCTAGTCTTCAACTATTGCAGACCTAGAATATTTTTGTTTCTGTACTGACAGGAGTTTTGTAGTATATCTGTATAGATTGTGGCTTCAGATCATTGCTGTAAAATGAGATCTGTTTTCAGCTTGAATGTGTTCCATAGTGGTTGTGATTCATAGGGATCACTGCTTCAATTCAGGCAGTCATTACTTTGAGTGCTGTAGTGTAGATGAGCAATTGAATGTTGGGGTATCAAACATGTGCTCTTTGCTGTAACAAACACACATTTATCTTTCCCACCTTTTTATTCTCCCCTTATTCTTTCAAGTGCTTAGAACCATTTGAATCCCTTTTGGAAAGTGATAGATGCCAAAATGTGATCAAATGCTTTACAAACATGCTTCTGACTTCTTTCAGTACCATTCTGTGAATAACAGTTTCCTCTGGATTTGGGAAGGAGGCTGTTTTCTGTATGTATAGGCTTGAAATAAACAGAACTAGTGGACTTTACTACAATTGTATTCTTGATACTTTCTTTTTTACGTAAGCACTATGTATATTGTGAAACAATTAACCCAAATCTAAATATCAAGATAAAGTTACATTCCAAAACTGCCTGCTCGTACAGGTGTAGGTGTTGAAGTACATATGCACCCTAGTATCATACTTTAAAGTGACCTGTAGACAGTATAAAAAATCTCTTGTAATTTATTATGTCTCTTTGTCAAATTGAATCTGTTGAACTTTCAAAAAGCCCAAATTATGTTTGGATCTTGCAGTTGCCCTTCTACTCATTTCAGATATTCTATGGATTTAAAGACTTAGTGCAGTAAGTATTCCACCTTCAGAGAAATAGCTGATCTTTTTGTCTTTGTGATAACAGGCTTTCATTACATCTCTTCTGCATGAGACAAACTTCTGCAAGAGTTAAACAGTTTTTAGGAGGGTTTCAGAGGAGAGTTGCCACGTAAAAGAAACCTGTGGCATGTTTGGTTCTAAATGGGGGAGTAGCACAAATACAGGCAGCTGTTAGGATAGTGCACATTTCATTACTATTGAGTTGTCTTTTCTCATGTGAATCAGCTGTCTTGTTATCTACTTAGTCTATATAAAAGTGGAATGATGGATTATTGGGGAGTTGAAGTCTTAGTAGCTCTTGGCTCTAAGGAGCTAAAACTGCTCTTTCCATGCTGATGAAATTGCTACAATGAAAGTGGAAAGGAGCTATTTGTTGTGTGTTTGGTTTGGAGAGCAGAAATCTCTTCTATGTCTGCTAATAGTACTTTGTCTTGAAGCATAAAGGCATAAGCATTTATGTCTGTTTGCTTAAAATTTTAGTTATTAAAATAACAAGTTTGACTGAACAGGAAGGAAAAAACAACCTTGCTGCATTAGTTAATTTCTGAATGACTGTCACCTCACATTCCAGCTGCAGGAAACAGTAAATTTACAAAAATGCAGTTAACCATCATGGTACAAGTAATGATAAAACTTGATTTTCAGCATTGTTAGGCTATTACTACTGAAACAATAAAGTAAAGCAGGACTGAAGAAATAGGTGTCAAATTTTGTTCTGAACCTTGTGTTTTAGCAAGTCTGAAAAGCTTGACTTTTTAATCAGCCAAAATGAGTTGTGATTGATGGGAGTGTTAATTCTGTGCCAGCAGCAAGCATTAGCATAAGAATAAGCAGAGTAGCTGGTTGTAAAGTGAGGCCTGCCCACCAGAGCAACTGTCTCTTTTTTGTTTTTCTGGTTGTTTTTGGCCTTTTTTTTTTAAGATGTTACAGGTGCTTTTGGCTAAAGAGAGCAGATACGGAGTTTTCTAAATCTGTTAGTTGGACGATGGGGTAATGCTGCAAGAGGTACCTCTGGAAATACTGTCCTGTGAGTGGTGGCATCAGTAATTGTTTCTGGGCTTGAACACAGGCACATTCCAATCAGGACTGGCCAATGTGTGCTGTCCTGGGTGTCAGAGTAGGGAATTGCATAAAACTGGGGAAGGAGGAGTATTTAAGATGCAGTACAAAAACTCCCATTACCTCAAAAGGGTGCCTGTGATTGTGGGGAGATTGGGGCATGATGATAACTGGAAGTCTTTCCAGTCCTGTGTGCCTAATCCAAGCAGTGAGGCACTTCACAAAGGAAGGCTGGAGACTTGATGCTCACAAAGTCATCTTTCCTCACAGTTTCTGCTTTTCCACCCTTCTGACATGTTGGGGCACATCTGCTTGGCTGAATTTCCAGCTCCACATCCTTGTCACTTATCCAAGTGAGAATAAAATGCCTTCATATTTGGCACACCTAGTTTCCCAAGTGATGTCTTGTCCCTCAGGTCTTCCAGGTTCTCACTGCAAAACAACTTAGTGCCATTGAACTGTGAAAACGCAGAGGGTTAGGCTTATGCCCTACACACAGCAACTGTGGAGGC